AAATAAATATGGAACAATGTCTGGATCCTGCTGCTAAGTGCAATTACACCCTGCTCAAATATGCCTCCAACCAGAGGTTAGGAATGCTTGCTGGACTACAACTCCCAGAATCCCCTCAACACCTGCTTTCTGCTCCTGGCGGCTGGAGGATTCTGGGAGTTGTAGGCCAAACCAACAGGGAGGTTTTTAACCTCTGCCAGTGTAGAGGTAGCATTGCTTGCGGCCGTGGCTTTGGACTACTACAATTCCCAGAAGCTCTGACCAACAGATCTGATGGCGAAGGCTTCTGGGAGTTGCAGTCCAAGACCATCTGGCTGACACTCCCAGGTTCGGCCTCACGGGGGCCTTGGCGCAGCCGGGCCTGGGGACGTTGCCGTGGCAACCGTAGAACGCGGGAGGGGATTGGGCGGGTGCTCGGGCGCTGAAGGAAGGGGCGGGGCGGGGCGTGCGTGTAAAGGAGGCGCCGGAAGTCGGAGGGCGGAAGTGGCGAGGCGCCTCAGAAGAGGTGAGGTTTCCAAGGGGACTCGTCGCCGGAGCCTCTGAGGGGCAGCTCCGACCCCTCACAGGCCGCTTTCTTCGGGTCCTTTCCCACCGCGGCTCCCTTGCCTTGGCCTTCCCCCCGCTTTCGGCTCTTTCCAGCCCATAATAACCGGGCAGAGAGAGGCGCGTGGCTGGTGCTCCGGCAACGTTTCGCTGCCCAAAGTGGGTAGGAAAAGAGACCACCTCCAAAGAAGGGGAGGCTTGACCTGGCGAGAGAGAGAGAAAAAGCGCTCAGGTGGTGGCCGATAATAGAGCTCCAGATATTTAAAGCCGCTGAAAAACACGCCCTTCCCCCCCCCTCAAGTTGTATGTCTGGTGAGGGAGGAGGTTTTGGGGCAGGAATCGGGAATATGGGTCCAAAATCGCAGCCTGTTTTTGTGTGCGATGAGGGAGCTCGGTCGGTATCCTTTTCCCCATTAAAAGGGGGGGCCTGTCACAAGCGATTCAGAAAAGAGGTTTTCATTGAAAAACACACACACACACACACACACACGTGTACGTATTGCCCTCTTAGTAAATCAGTTTTTCTTTAAATTACAGGCCTGTGGATCAATAAATAAATAAATAAATAAATGTTGCCCTCTCAGTAAATCAGTTTTCTTTAAATTACAGGCCTGTCGAAAAAGCATATGGATTAGGGTTGAGAAGAAGAATTCGAAGGTAGGTAGAATTAAGAGATCCCAGACAATCCAAAAACAAGATTCTACCCTCATTCCATTGGAAAACTCGCAACAGAAATTATACGTCCATGCATAACCTGAAGCAAAGGGATTTAATATGTGTTCTAGTTTGCTTATTTGGTAGTGAAAACAGCTGTGTGTCATTCAGCTCTTTTTATAGTTAACTTAGCGAGCGAGCAAGATTTGTTTCCACTTAAAATAATAATATAGACGTAATCCTAGACCTATCTACTCATCAGTAAATCCCATTTATTTCTATGGGTTTTTTTTTTACCTCCTGGTAAATGTATATCAGGTTGCGGTTTAAATTAATTTTCTTGATTGCCATGGAAGTTATATGCAGAGTTGCTGCCTTGGTTGAATAATCTGATAATGAATCATAATGTTTACTTATACACGGTATCATCAGTATCTTTAAATGCTGCACTTAATAAACAGAAGGTGGAAACAATGAGAAATTATCAACCAGCCATGCAGTATCAATATAAAGTTAAAGAAACAAAAGTTAGGCTTCTTTTTGTGTGCCTATGTTAATCTCATTAAACTAGTACTAGAATGTTTTGAGTAATTATTTTATGTTTTAAAAATGCCAGTTTTGCTTTTGTTTTCAGAAACAGAAGTATATTATTATGTAAGTGGCAAAAAGTGGCATGTGTTTGACAGTGTTTCCTAATCTGTTAGTCTATTGCTTGTTGCTAAAAAATGTGGTCCAGCCCATAATGTGTGTGAAATAGCCACATTTTAAAATGCAGTAAGGTATCCATGGGGAATCGGTTACAAGTCCCCCCACAGATGCGGAAAAAACGTGGAAATACTGGAAGCTATACATTGCATGCCCTCTGGCTCCCTCTATTGCTGGTTTTGCTTTTTTACATCATAAATACTTTCCCTACAGTCGTCCTCCTTCAGTATACGCTTATGACAATGACAGATCCTGTGCAACCCAGGATCTCTGTCACTAGGAAAGAGAAAGGGAGTTGAATCTCTCCTGAGGCTGTCAATAGAAATATATGTGTTCTAACCGTACATAACAGATTGTCCCATCATATTAATGGGTCGTGCGTTTCACTGTCACTAATGGAGAAATCACTCCCCTTAATGGGACGTGTGGCTGCGTGGACACATCCTCCATTCCATAGTGGGAATGTGAACAATTGGATCTTCCATCATTTGCACCCGTCTTTTAGAAAATTATATTGTATCTAGAGAATCAACTCCTTTTGTCTTTCTGCATCTCAGGGACAGAAACCTGGGTTGCTTGACTCTTTCTGGGCTAATTCTTCCGCACACAACTTTGAATGGCGAGTGAGAGACTAATACAGCATTTGATACTGACAGTGTGGTGGTCTTACCTAATGTTTGGTGCAGGTTGCTAAGTGGCAGGTGTGTAAGCTATGCCTAGAAGACTCTCTGCTACCTAGAAAACTCCCTTTCCTCATGAATGAGTTATATTAATTAATTCTAGATGTGCATGTGTACAAATATGGCATCTACAAATGCACCACACATACAAATTGCTTCCCTTTATTCTGTTCATGTGTTTCCTCTGACTTTGTTGTGTGTGGATGGCCATTCTTGGTCTATAAGAAGAGGATGCAAATGGCCAGGGAGTGAAGAAATGGGAGGAGATAGAGAAAAATGGGATAAAGCTTCAAATGGAGCATGGCGTTACCATTGGGGTGAGATCTGTAACGGGATAGGTACAGTAAATAGAACAGATAAAAAAGCAAAGTGTGCAGCTTCTATACTGCCCCATAGCACTTAAAGCACTCTCTGGGCAGTTTACAAATTAATAATTACACATTGTAAGCTCAAGGTACTAGGTTTTGCATGCAGATGTGAAATGGCTCAGCTTTAATGCATGGCGATGTCCTGATAGCATTTCGTGTCTTGTCCTTGCAGATGCTCCTGTCACGAGCTTGCCCTAGTAGGTGCAAGGGCGAAAGAGATTATGGATGACATGATATTTCGAAGTGACACAGTCTTGTCCGATGTCCACCTACACACCTCAGGCAAAAGGCAGCTGATGGTCAGGCTGAATGCTGTCGGCCAGCCAGGTAAGGGAACAGGCAGCGCTGTCAGTGGTTGGGTGAGGTTTTCCTGTCATCTCCTGCGTGTGACATTGGTGCGATTTTATGCCATCGGCCGAGGCCTTCTGCAAACCTTATTTTCTTTGCTCTGGCATGTAACCTAACAGAAAACGGGGGTGGGGCTTCCCATTCAAAATAGGAACCTGTGCTCCCAAGGGGTCATCTGTCCCTGGCCAGTTTCAGGTAAGGGAGAAACAGGGTCAAGAAGATGGGGTCACACAGCAAGAGGAGAGAACAGCAGAAGCAAAGGGAGAAAGAAGGGGCTCACCAATTTTTGCCTCTGGCCTTCCACAAATGACCCCCCCTCCCCTTGGGAATGCAGACCTCGAGAAGAATATAGTTTATACCCCTCTGCTTAAAGTTGGCAAGTGTAGCAAAGCTTGAGAAGCAGTTGTGTAAGAGAATTGAGGCAAGTGGTGATCAGAGCTGGAGAGAGACAGGCTTGCCCACAGGGGTTCTAGGTCCTCCATTCATAATGCAAAATTCAAACGATGGAGGAGGACGTAGCCAAAACAGGTTTCTTGAATGGGCACATATCAGAAAAATGAAAAATACCTAGGAAATAAAGATGATGAGTGCAGTGATTTGTGATGTTTAGAATGCCGTCGGGCGTGAGTCATGAAATACACTAGCATTTTGAGGATTTGCAGTGTGCTCAAAGAAAGTGACTTGACTTCACGTCTTTGCCCCTTAGTCTTCCTCACACAGTTCAGACTTCTTTTGGACAAGACCAGGTGGACCTCTGAGGAGGAAGAGGGAGACGTGGGTAGAAATGCCCTCGGATGTCAAGAGAGGTACAGAGAAGCAAGCAGTAGTCCTTCCCGTCAAGATCCTTCGAGAAGTCCCGGAAAGGAACCAGACTCCTCGGAAAGAATCGAAGCTTTGCTGGATGAAGACGGGGACCTGGAGGTGGTCCGGAGGCCTCGGCTCGCTTGCTCGGAAGTGGAAGCTCTGCCAAGGGACAAGGTGTGTCCCGTCATTTTGACCACCGGTGGCGATCCCTCGGAGGAGCATGAGCAAAAACACAGCTCCTGTGACATTGTTAAAATAGGTCAGTCCTCTGAGGTGGTGGCGGCCTGGCACAGAATTCATGTTTCTTGTGAGGAGAAGAGGTGGCATGAACCCTGGACATAAGAGAACTAGCACCTCCGTTCATGATCTCCCCTGCCCTGCCTCATAATCTGGGTGAAGCAGGCTGGGAAGGAGAACTCTACCCCCAAATACGTGCTAGTGTGATTAAAATGTGGGCGACCCCTTTCCTTAACCCCACGCTTGCTAGCCTTCTCGGCTGGTCAGTCTCCGTTTCTGAAGCACAAACCGTTTCTCCTGGGTAAATGGAGATGCATCAGGTTGCATATTAAGTTTGCGTCCAGGTAACCCGGGAAGGGCAGAACTGGCCCCCAAGCAGGGGGTTATACACGTTCATCTTGGTTGCCTGCATCGGCACTCCCGTGTAACCTCTTGGTAGCTTATCCTAAAGTGACCTTTGCAGACGACCCAGCCTTGTGGACCTCCAGGCAGTCCACACTATACCCAGGGTTCCTGCTCGAGATTATTGCTAATCTTGAAACAGAATTAAGCAGAGAATGGCTGGTGCAGCACTTAGGGTGTAGGACTAGAGCTAGGAGGATCCAGACTGAAATCCAGACCCAGCCTTGAGCTGCTTGGAAGCCTTTTTGGGCCACGTGGCTTCATTGGCCTGACTTTGGTCTGGTCAGAAGGAAATAGTTTATATGCGGTTTGGGGGTTCTTTGAAGGAAGAGAGGGATTGCTAAAGGAAACCACCGGTTTGAGTTTACAAGAACTGAGCAAGGCTATCGAGCACCGGACAGGTTGGAGAGCCCTCCTCCAGAGTTTGCAAGAACTGAGCAGGGCTGTCGAGCACCGGGACAGGTTGGCGAGCGCTCCTCTGTAGGGCCCCACAAGTCAGAGGCAACTGGGCAGCGCGTGACAATAAACAGAAGAAAGAGGACACAAAACTGTAATGAAGGAGAAACGTTTTTCACAAAAATATCTTGAGGGAGCTGGGCTGGTCCGGTCGGCGGTAGTCAAGTAGCCAGTCTGGGCTTCGCTTTCCACAATCAGTAGCCAAGTTGGCCAGTAGTTGGGGGGATTGGAGAGCTGTAGCCAAAAACACCTTGGTTACCTGGAATTGTGGTGCTCTGTTGCTTTAAGATATGTTTTGGTTACTGATTTTATTGGCCGCTTTTAATATGGTACTAGTTTAATACTTTTTAAATATTTGCATACTTAATGGTTTTTAGCTTTTTAAGACTGTCTTGCGATGTAAGCCGCCTTGGGGCCTGTTGAGGAAAAAGGGCGAGGTAAAAATATTCTAAATAAAAGAATTAAGTAAAGAACCCTCTACCTCTGGGGCCCTGCCGACTCTCTCTGCCAAGCATTTCTTCAAAATGGGGGTGGGCGGGGGACGACATTTTAGAAGCAATGTTGGCCTAATAGGAAAAACTCGGCTTCATGAACTTGTTTCGCTTTTCCAGAGCACACCATGGCCACCCCTTTGGAAGATGTTGGCAAGCAGGTGAGTGGCTTTTTTTGCCATCCTGCTTTCCCACCCTTTGGCTCTCTTCCCCCCCCAAAAAAAAAAAATTCAGCAAAACTAATATTTTTGCCTCCTGTTCTGAAAGGTCTGGCGAGGAGCTTTCTTGCTCGCGGACTACCTCCTCTGTCAGCAAGATCTGGTCAAGGACTGCACGGTGCTGGAGCTGGGGGGAGGTACTGGCCTGGTCAGCATCGCCGTGGCCCACACTGCCAAGACCGTGTACTGCACAGGTACGTGGTGAACTGCCCCAGGGGTGTAAGGCATCTGGCTGGGGATCCAGAGGTCGGGAATTCGATTCCCCCACGGAGCCTCCTGGACAGGGGCTGGTCTGGATGATCCCATAGGGTCCCTCCCGGCTCCGCAGTTCTGAGGTCATTGTTATTAAGAACTGCTGAAGAGCTCAACATAGGGTCCCTCCCGGCTCTGCAGTTCTAAGGTCATTGTTATTAAGAACTGCTGAAGTGGTTGAGGCCTCTGGCTGAGGTTGGGAGTTCGATTCCCCCACGGGGCCTTCTTGACAGCGGCTGGACTTCGTGATTCGATTCCCCCACGGGGCCTCCTGGACAGCGGCTGGACTTCATGGTCTATAAAGTCCCTTCCAGCTCTCTAGTTCTAAGTTTATACAGTAGATCAATGGCATCTTTTTAAAGACCTCAAAAAGTGTCTCATTTCAGTTTGAATTGATAAGAGTCAAGGTCAGTTGGGAGAAACGGGAAACTGCGGTCTTTTCTGTGTATGTTACTTGCTGTTCATTTCGTTCATCAATTCAAAAGTACTAGCTTCTTAATTTTTTTTTCTTTTAAGATGTTGGTGAAGATCTTCTGGACATGTGTGAACGGAACATTTCATTAAACAAGCATCTGACTGAGGCAGCCGGTAAAGGTCTGTTTGCATTTTGTTTTAATGTTGTTTATCATGGCGTTCCAAAGTGCCGGCCGGGCTGTCGTACGAAGTAGAAACCTAGGTAGCTCTTTGACACCCCGAGCTTGGAAAGTTTTCCTTTTTTTGGGCTACAGCTCCCAGCCAGAGGGCCACCTCGCATGGCTTCAGCTTCTTTGTGCTCTGATCATCTGCTGTCCTATGATTCTCCCGGCTGGCTTGCTGGAGGTTGGGGGCTTATTGGTCTGGTGCCTTGGAACCATTGCCGGAGGCTGCGTCCAGAGATTTCAGCTGTAATCGGTGGTCGTGCTGGCTGAGAAATTCTAATAGGTCGAGCCCCACCCACCCCTAAAACCCTACCTTTCTCAGTCCTGCATCTGCCAAACAGGACCAGCGCTTGCCCACTATTATCCAGCAGTCCTCCAATAGTAGGAATTTAACTTGGGATTGGAAACACACGTTTTATCCTTGGCAGGCAATTTCTTTCCAAAGGCCTGTTCTGAACCTTTCCTCTGGTCGCTTCTCTGCATCCAGTCTAAGGCTACAGTCTTGAACCCACTTCCTATTGTAAATAATGCAAACGCGTGTCACATTTTTCCCCTTGGTCCTTTTCCAGCCGAATCACTGTTCAAAAACTCTGCCCACGGAAGGCTGTTGAAATATTAAGTAGGGGGGCAAGTTTCAAAAATTCAGCACTTCCTTGTTCTGTCCCAGGGCTCCCTCATGATCTTTTCCCCTCGTTTGGAAGCCACTGGACAAGATCATTTGGAAGCCAAGGGATGCAATGGGGAAGTTTTTAATTGCCAAACCTCACCAGCACCATTATGACCTTAGGAGCTTTGGTGATGTTCGATAATTAACAACAATGAAATAGATTATACAGGAGCCCTGAAAACACACTGGGTTAGAAGTAGGGAGGGTTTGCTTTCTGAAAATCCCTCTGGTTGGTGGTGCCTTCAACTACATCAGATATACAGGATTTCAGCCTGTGTTTACTTCCTTTTTCCTTTTTATCTCCCCTTCAAAGCAAATGTGGCAACTCTGTCAGATCTGGGAGCGAATTTTCTATCCCCGGTATCTCTGGGGACTTAACAGAACTCCCAGCAAAACAAAAGGAAAACAAATAAGCAAGCCTAGAAGTCCGCTACCAAGTTTGGTTTGGTTTTGGGTGGACAGTGCTTTCTTCAGTGTAAAACATACTAGGGGAGCGGTGCAACCTCATGAATTGCCATTGTGAAAACTTCCAGGAGTTATAATTTACTTTCTGCAAAAAAAATTAATCAACAGGGGAATGATTTAGGGCTGTGAAAAGGCTTGGAGTTTGCATGCTGCTCCCCCCCCCCATTGCTCTCTCTCCCCCAAAGCATATTTGCTTGCTTGTTTAATCATTTTATTTCTTTATCCTCTGATTGCCTTTTCAGGAAGTAAAGTTAAGGTCAGAGAATTAGACTGGTTGAAGAACGATTTTTGTACCGGTAAGTAGAAGCGTCAGTTTCTGACCAGTACGAGTTGATGATTTTCCTTCCCACATGTTGAATTATTGAGTTCCCTTAGTGCTCCGGGCACAGCTTCAGCCAAAGGCTGAAATCTTGTGGCTTGCACAAGAGTAGGCCTGCTGGATTTATTTAATTTATTTATTCATTCAAGTATGCCTACTCTGATTGTGTCTTCATCATCATTATATGCCATCAAGTCAATGCTGACTTATGGTGACCCTTTCTAGGTAGAGAATGCACAGAAGCAGTTTACCCTTCCCTTCCTCTAGAGGGCACCCTAAAACTGGACAGCTTGCCCAAGGCTACACAGGCTGGCTCTACTCATAGGAGGCCCAGTTGTGGAAATCAAACTCCCAACCATTCAGTGAAAACTGGCTGCTCTCTCAGCAAATGCGGTTCTGTTTTGCCATAGATCCTGAGAGTGTCCATAGCTGGTCCGAAGACGAGATTGCTGAGCTGTACGACCTCACCACGGTTATATTAGCTGCTGATGGTAAGGTATTATTGGAGATGTTCTTGAAGCCCTGTGCTTGAAGCCTATGCACTGTTGTTGCGTGTTGTTTTTTAAATAATCTGTGGGAGTCATTGCTACTAGAGAACTGACTCAAGCCGTGGAGGCCACATGGAAACCCAGGGCAACTGGAGAGTTAATTTCAGAGGTGGCCTTAAAATGAATAAAAATATAGTTTTCTTTGAATTTCATGGTTGTAGGGCAACTTCCCACAGGCTTCAGCAGAACCACATCCCATAGTGATGCATTTAAGATCATCAGAGGAGGGCCTCCGGTCAGTCCCACTCCTGCCAGCCCACGCATGCCTGATGGGGACACGAGACGGGGCCTTCTCGGTGGCCGCTCCCGGGTGATGGGAGGCACTCCCTTCCTCTTATCCTTCCGCCAACGGTTGAAGACCCATCTTTTCAGGCAGGCTTTTAACAGTCAGAACTGGGTCCCTGAATGCCTTTTTAAAGTTAATATATTTTTTGATGTTTACTTGCTTTTCATTATTCAGTTGTATTTTAATTGGAGTATAGTTTAATTTTTCTTTAATGTTTACTACTTACTGTGTTTTTATTTCTCTTTTTAATGTTGTGAGCTGCCTTGGGTCCTCTTAGCTGGAGAAAGGTAGCCTTTAAATAAAACAAATAAAAGGAAAGCAAATGAATGAATGGGAAGAATCATTGTTCAGTACTGGGAATTATTAGTCATGGAACACCAGTATACGAGCCTCCTTAAAATAAGTAGGAGTTACTAGGGCCTCTCCATGCATTTACAAAAGGATCCGTGCATGATAGTCACTCAGTGAGTTGCTTAATGCTCAGAACATGAGAATATTTGCAGATGAGACTATGACGAATCTAGAGGTCAAATTGTCCTTCGTTGACAGATAAAATGTCAAAGCTGTTCAGGGCAAGCCGACATATGAAATTCACCCCACCTGTGCGTGCCGTTGCAAAACTCCCTTTTGCCATCCATGCCACTCCTGGTAACTATGAATGGACTCTTGTTTTATTCTTAGCTGCTGGGCACCTGGGCCCTATCCTAAGGAGCTGCTAGGGATGAAAGAACCTTATGTGAGCTGAACATCTTGACGGTCCAGATGCTTCAGTCCTCTTTTCTTTTTGTCACAGTCTTTTACGACGACGACCTGACAGACGCCTTCTTCAGAACCCTCTCTCGCATCACGAGCCACTTGAAAAACTCTTGCACTGTCTACTTGTCCATAGAAAAGAGGTAAACGGATGTCCTTTAACTCTGAAGTGAAAAATGCACGGCCCTGCACCCTAGGGTGTTGGTAGCTGACGGTAGACGCAGTTAGAGCTTCGCTCATTTCCATGACACCTTCGAGCATAAGGTGCTTAGTCACCAAGGAAAGGCTACACAGATGACTGTATTTCTAAGAAAAGGCCCTTCAGAGGAAACAGTCGTGCTCGTTAATAAGGCATCCTGGGTTTGGATAAGAACACTACACATCCACAAGGCTCCAGAATGAGGCTGTTATAAAAACCACGTTCACAACTCAGAGCCCCGAGAGCCAGCACACGTATCCATTTTTGTTGGGCTTATCTTTGAAAGATTAAAGGACATGGTGGTGCTGTGAGTTAAACCGCAGAAGCCTCATAAGATCGAATCCACACGACGGAGTGAGCTCCCGTCACTTGTCCCAGCTCCTGCCAACCTTGCTGTTCGAAAGCATGTAAAAATGCGAATAGATAAATAAGTACCACTACAGTGGGAAGGTAACGGCATTCCATGTCTAGTTGCGCTGGCCACGTGACACGGAATCTGTCTACGGACAAAACGCTGGCTCTATTGCTTGGAAACGCGGATGAGCACCGCGCCCTAGAGTTGGACACGACTGGACTAAACGTCAAGGGGAACCTTTACCTATCTTTGAAATATTATCCTTGACTCATCCAAGCAGGTGGTCTTACACCAACGAGTCATGCTTACAGAAGGAACAGCTCCTGTTTAAAAAAAAGTGACCGTAACGATTCCGAAGTAAATCTCACTGAGTAAGATTGGAACATGCTTGGAATTTTGGAGTAAAAGGAGCTGCAACCTGAGAGTGTCGAGAAATCTGTCCCCTTCTTGGCACCCGCTGGCACTCTGTCTACACTGTACGTCACGGCGGTAGTGAGGAAAGAGCTGGTTTGCTCTGGTTTTACTTTGCACAGATTTTTCGTCCCTGTTGGTTTGGCCACAGCTAGCTGGATAGCTCTGGGATTTAGGAATCTGGCTGTGGAGCTAGAAGTTGAGAGTTCGATTCCCCCAAGGGGCCTCCTGGGAGAGAAGAGCCAGCCTGGGTGGTCTTGGGCAAGCTGCACAGTGGTCCTAGGGTACCCTGAAAAGAAAAGGAATGGGAAACCACTTCTGTGTATTCTCTAACTGGAAAACCCTGGAAAAGGGTCGCCGTAAGTCAGAATTGAATTGACAGCACATGATGGTCACGATGATGATTGGTTTGGCCACAGGGGGTGAACAAAGGGACTTAATCCTTGGGAAACTGACATGCAAAACGATATTGTGCTTACCACCATCCTCTGTCTTT